ACGTTTTTAAAAGTGTCCCTGGAGTTGCTTACCKTAAGAGAGATTTCCCCAGCAACACTTTTTTTATGTAACTGAGGCCCAGTGGGCATCAAAAACAAACTTAAATGACTTTGTTCATTTTTTTATGAGATAAAAAATATTTTATGGCTCTTGCACATCTTTTCAAATTGGTAGAAACTAATTTCCTCTGTTCTGTTTGTGTGTGTGTGTGTGTGTGGGGGGGGGTATTGTTAACCTCACAATTCAGTTACAGTTCTTTGTGTCACAATTAGAATTCAATTTAGTATTGTTTTAAATATTTTATTGATTTCCTAGAAATAGGTACATAAATACTGCTTTAGAATAAATAATTAAAAAAATGTATTGCCCTATAAACAGAAATGTTTTTAACATTAATATATTTGGAGAAATAAAATATCTGTAAATAAAGCAGTAGAACAATAATACTTGTTATAAATATGCAGTGAAAACATAAAACCTGACAAACTCGAGGCTTTAAGTAAAAGAAAAATCCTGAACCTGATTTTTTTTGTGATGGTGATATTAATAAAATCATAATGTTTCTTTTGCRAATCTGTGAGAATCTGTGGGAAAACCCACACTTTAAATGACACAATGAATGGGGCAGTGAGGTATTTGCTTCCCTATCAGTTAGTTTATTGATTAATTTTGTGTTTTAAGATTTTTTATACTCAACACAAAGTTGCGGTGACATCATCAATATTCTCTCTGTAATAAATCTGTAATCCTGCAGCCAGGAGGTACCACAGATCATGTTTCCTCAAATGACTTTATTTTGCTAAAACTTTGCTAGGATGTGCCTGCGTCCTGAGACTCCAGGGGATTAATTGTCATATTAGACGTTACTGGCTAAATGCCACAATTAATTGTAATTAAACTTTTGGCGCCAATATTGCCCAACTGTTGTGTTTATCTATCTGTGTTTTTAAATACATATCTTGTAGGGGTGCAACTATACAGAAATTTCACGATTCGGTTCGGTTCGATACTTTAGTCTCACGGTTCGATATTTTTTCGATACAAAAAAGAGAAATTTCCATGCCCCTTTTAACTTATTTGTTTAAATTAATTATGAACATTTGTTTAACCTCAAAAGTACAGTTTTTAAATAAAATGTTGCTGAAACAGCAAGTTTCTCAGTGGATCTGCACTCAAAAATGCAGCCAAGGGAGAGTAGTCGAACACAGATCCACTGATCCTTCAACACAGAGCATCTTCAGAAGACAAGCTGATAAAATAAAATTTAAAAATCTGTATTGTTCGATACAAGTGTGTGTTGAACCTAAAGCACTGTTCATTATGGGTACATGTATTGTTGCACCCCTAATATCTTGTCAGGATCAGTAGTCCTGTTGGGGACCAAAGCCTGGTCCTAATACGATGGGAYACCATTTTTGAGTTATAGGTTAGRTTTTGGATTAAGTTGTGAATTAAGATCTGTACTGAGGGTAGTTAGGTGTAAAGATCATAGTTAGGCTACAGAAATGAAGTAAATACACGGTACTAATAAGAACAGAAATACCAACTTGTGTTTGTGTGTGATGCGTATGGTGCTTTCTACAAGTCAGAGATGATGATGATTTAAAGGCAGAGAATGAAGTCCATTTATCATTGAATGAAGTCCATTTATCATTCACATTTGATGTGGTTAATGCGCTCAGATCTTTGCCAGTGGGAGAATACATTAGGAGATTGAGTGGATATAGGAAGCTATCATTAGGGGTTACCATCATGGTATTTATAGACCTGTGTTTTACATCCTCCTGGTTAGTGGATGGCTCCACATCCTGGAGGTCTCCTCCACTCTGCACGTGACTCCCTGCTCACTGTTAACCAGCTGGCCTGTTAGCTTGTTTATTTAGAGGTGTGTCTGCATGTCACCACTCCTGCTAACAATATTTGAGCAAACCTGAGCGCAGAAGTGCTTTTGAAAGGTTTTAATCTCCACAGTCACCTCTGACTGCACCACAGTAACTGTTAGTACATTCTGACAGACACTGACAGATTGCCTTGTGGAGAGCTGGTTTTCAGAGATCCTCCATGCCACCATAGTAACCACTGAAAACATTCATGTGTTTGTAGTTTTCACACCACARCCTGAAGTCTAGCATATCATGGTGTCAGTACATAAACATTCAAGCACCTTTAAACAGCTGAGAAGCCAAATCAGAAATCCAAGACAGCTAAAAAGATGAATTTAGCATAATTCTGACATTTTTGGCCATATTAAGGTGAGAATTGATATGGTGGTCGATGACGGTGATCTTCAACAAATAAAGTTGAATCATACATTTAAAATGGACGCCATTGGCAAGTCCTTTCATTGTTCCAGGAACAATTCTAGTTAAAGCTACTCTTCAAATAGAATCTTACACACATAAGGTTTTTTACCCAATAAACCCAGAGCGGAAAGAGGAGTGGAATGAATTTGCACTTTTATCAGCAGTATTATTTTTTTTTTTGCAGAGCAGATAAATTTCCTTCCTGCCTATCTGGATGCAGAGACCGTCACTATCTTGCTGTTTTTGTTGGCAACCGTCTCCAGGAAGTGTCTCCCTTCGGCTTGGCGCTGCTCAAATATTGTGCTGTCTGTAAACAGCCTCTTTTATTCATTGTCTGGGCTGTGAGGGCGGTGGATGGGGGTGGTGGGRGGTGGAGCAGCACTGTGGGGACATGGGGAGAGAGAGGTGAAGTCAGGAWTMAGGAATGTGCCTTGGCAAGCCTCGGGTCGACGCAGCCCAGATGACTGGGAGGGAATCCTTGGCAGAGAGGAAGCTGGGGAACCCCGTTCAACACCTCCAGCTCTTTCCCTCTCTGTAACAACCCCACCACCCCTCCACACACAGTCTGCCGTGTCCTTTCTGTCGATTCGTCTTTCTGTGTAAAAAAAAAAAAAAAAGAAAATAAGAGAGAACCAGGGAGATGCCGACATGAAGAAGCCATTTTTAAATGTCTGACTAGTGGAGCATGGAAAACAGCAGAACCCTCGCCTGCTTTTTCTTATTATTTTTTTCTGCATCCAAAATGTCCCCCTGTGAGTTCAACCATGTCCAATCTGAACTCTGAAAACCCTCCATACGTTTGGAAAGCTATTCCCAGTGAGTCATCGACTATTATTACACAGGCTGAGGAGGGTCTTTTGTTGGCGAGGAGAGGCGACCCCTGCACATGGAGCTTGTTTTGCAGAATGATGCAGCAGAGCTAACAGTCCAGCAGGTGGAGAGACATTATCAAGTCTGTGTTTGAAGTGACATTTGGGTTTTTATGASCTTCTCTGCTCTTGCATGATTTGATCAAATTCTAAACAATCTTGCAGCTTTTTTATTTCGATTACCTGCTCTTTTTAGTTTTTACCAGATTAATTTGCTCCCTGAGCCGCGTGAGTAGATCTGTTTTTGGAAGGAGGCTGCGAGCTCACGTCACGGGCTCTCCTCTTTCCAGCCCCTCTGCACACAGGGTCACGTTTGTTCCTCGTGCAGCACAGTGCGGTCAAAACATGCAGGGAAACACGAGGTTTCCACATCACGRAGGAGAATACTGCCGTCATTTAATGTTTCCAGCCGGCTGCCTTCTAAATATAGCTGCTTTCCCTCCAAACGATGCCATAATTCAAAACTCTTGCTTACTTTGAAGATAATAAGCAGGCCTTAACATACTGTGGCTGAGCGTGGGATTTCTCATCAAAAAAAAAACAAAAAACAAGCCAGTGTTGATCACATGTGATGGAGGTTGGTGGTGACTTTGCGTTGGACCTGACGCTCACAGTGACTAATCACGCCTCAGTCTCACTGCGGTGACACTGATCAGCAGTACTTGTCATTTCCAATGTTTTTAGAGCACGACTGATGTGCGTTCTGTTTGAATGACTCACGTGTGGTGGGTGCTGTATTCTGCTCATCAGTTAGGACTGGATGAGATGCTCAACTTGTCTCAAGTGGCCAGAAGTGGGGAAAAAAATCTTCTTTTCAAATGACACAAAACTGACTGATGGGTCACATCTATCACCTTACCCACAGTAATTAATCATATCATGACCCCTGTGTCATGCTATGTATCATATCATCAAATTCTTGTCAATATRCAGCCCTAACCATCACCATGTTTCACTACAGAGAGAACACAATACGTCAACCTATCCTAACCCAGCTTTCCCACCGACGCTCCTAAGCGTGGGGAGATTGGTGTCGCGGTCTCAATGACTGCTATCAAAATGTGCCTCTTGAGATGTTTTGGTGTCTGGGAGGACGGTAACCATGTCCTCTGCCTCTGGAGTGGCCTCCTCTGTGTCCTCCCTGGCCGTGGTGCTGATTCCTGGAAAGTTGGTTCTCTTGGGCATCACCCTGGGAACTCCAGTTACCTCAGCAAGGCATTGAATCACTTTGACCCATAGATCCTGAACCTCCAGACATTCCCAAAAAACAYGAATGAAAGAGCCCAGAGTCACAAAGGGGCAGAATGAGCCACTCTGGACAGGTTGCTAGTCWGGATAGCTTACAGCTACAGCACATTTCAGCCCAATAACTGTAAACTTGACAGAGTTGTAGCTGTTTTTGTATTTAAAGTTAAACCTGAGGCAACTACTTCAAATCAACTGTCTTATGGTGTACACAAAGTACAGAATAAACATTGATATATGAGGTTGAAATGATGTTTCTTTAGCTGGTTTTGTCTTAGTCTTTCTAATTCTAACACATTTTATAGGGGAATTTGATTTCATAGCAGTAACAATATGATTTCTGATCCTTGGCTCGGCAGATAACGCTCCTGCTCTGCCTCACCGCATGAAGCGTTTCCTCACAACAAAGCAGAACAATTTCACAGAGCAATTTGTAATTGTCAGTGGCTGCTCCAGCTCTGCCTGAGAGTTTATCAAATCCACTAACTGCTCTTTGTCTTTCTCTTCCAAACCCCACCCCACCCTCATCACCATCCCTGGCTTTTTAACGCTCCTCCTGCCCGGTCTGATGGGACATCAACAGAGCTTCCAGCCGAAGAAGGTAAATATTGATTCTTCTAATGAGCTGTGGCCCTCCTCCCTTTACTGTCTGAATAAGTGTCCTGAGTATGAATTGTTTTCTTTTATATGAACTATGGGGGTAAACTTTGGGATTGTCCACGCCAGCAATCCACGCCAACAGTTTTCCGCCCATACACATACACACACATCATAGTCTTCTGTAAATACACACACAGCTGCCTGTCACTGTCACAGAGCTAATGTCAATACATCTTGCATGTCCTCTCCACCCTTAAGCATTTGTAGTCCTATACACTGAAGGTTTTACTGTATGTCAGATGTGATGCAGGTGTGTTTGTGTATCTCAGGCAAGTCCCTGTGGGAGCTGGTGGTGGAGCAATTTGAAGACCTCCTGGTCAGGATCCTGCTGCTAGCTGCCTGTGTCTCCTTTGTGAGTACAAACCAGCTTTTTAGATGCCAGTACCGGTCATGATTTTTACTCTGGACGGGAGATCCTAACTGAACTATGGGCAGGAAATTGCTGGCAGTCTTCTAGGCCGGCCTCATTGAGGGAGGCAATAGCTGATACTCCCATTTGACTGTTTCTTCTGTTTTTGTCATTATTTTCAATATGTTTAGGAAAAACCCTGTATTGTATGTTATCATTTTACTTTATTTAACCAAGCAAATGCTATTGAGACCTTTTGCAAGTGCAGCCTAGGCCTGAGAAAACCTACGCAAACATGAAGAGATCATGCACACAGAAAGACCCTATCATAGAGTGCACAACTTTCATGCTAAATTCGGCATACGGACGAAAATGTGTTGACATTTACGAAAGGTTGGAGCGTGTTCTGTATTTTCTTGTCTGAGGTCAAGAGGGGTTAAGTTTCATCATTTGGGTTTAAACCATAAAAGTTTAAACTAAAAAAATATAACGTTGTGTTCAGATGCTCCTTACATCCTTACTGACTGAAAAAGTTTGCTTGGCTGTCGGCATTTTTTCACAGCAGGTAAAATGTGTGCGTATATTGCTGCACATGTTCACATTTGTTTTGATACATCCCCATGTGGGTGGAACATGATGAATGCTACTTTTAGTGTATACACGTCGTTGATACATGAGGTCTTAGATCTGAACCGGAGATCGTACCCAGGACCTTCTTGCTGTTCGGAACAGTGCTGACCACTGAGCCAATGTGCTTCCCAAATGTACATCCATCCATCCATCCATCCATCCATCCATCCATCCATCCATCCATCCATCCATCCAT